TGTGTGTGACGAAGGGATACTGTGAATTTTGGCTTGGATCCAGTCAGGTTCGTCGCAATGGTAGAAAAGGTGGAGTGCTTGAGTTGAACAAACCTTCGCGGAAGGCGCCACGCATATAAAATCCATTCTAAAGTTTGTACAATGTGTAAGTAAAAACAGAGTGATGAATGACTAAAAACGAATAGTCCGTCAGAATCTGGATCGAGTAGCTCACCTGATTCCAGTCACGCCAAGTATTCGACTTCCCTTTGAATCGTGGTGGTGATTGGAACGATGATTGCTTGGCCGGATAATGACTGAGTTCGAATGAAGGCATATGGTTTCTTAAGATGTATAAACAACGTTTTTTATGTTCCAGTTTCGACGTAGTATTGGGATTCAAAAAACAATTTTCTGGGTTTGCGACTCGAAATTTCAACCCTTTGCCAGTACCTACGGCTTTACATAGGATTTGAGCCCGCACCGCAATGCTTCAATGCTTCATTGAGCGACGGGCATTCGTCCCAACGACGCACTGCCCATATATATCGAAGAAGTGAAAGATGTCTAATACAGGCTACTTCATGAAGGTTTCCAAGTGGGCAAGTTGGCACGCTTACACGCGTACGATGAGGACAGTTTCTGCTTTGTGCGGTGTCCGTTAACGCAAACATCCGTCATCGTGTGATGGCGGTTAGTTAAAAGCTATGTTACTCATTCTCTCGCTACGAGAGTGTATGGGCGGAGAGCGGACTATTTCTTCGGAAGATTCAGTGTTGCTGATAGCATGCTTGCTACGAATACTTCGGGTCGTAGCTCGATCAGCGACATTGGTCTTCATTTATGTTCACTTGCTCGCTCGCGAGTAGTTATGCTCTTAAGATGACACATCTACGTCGCCATATTCAGAAGCTGTTTAATCGATAGTCATAGTATTCTGGATTGATAGAGCTAGCGTGGTGTGGAATCAAAGCGACGTTCGTCGATAAGTGTTGTGAGGCATTCGAATGGGGGTGGAGTTTTACGATGGGTGTAGATAGGCAAGAAACGATAATTGTTACTCGGAGCTCTCGATATATGTCCGTTGATTCGACGTATCATAGCGCAGGTATTGAACGTCAGTCATGTTATTCTCAGTCCTTCCGCTAAATCTAATTGCGTTGCCGAGCTTACTAGCTTATAGTGTAGCCTTGTGCGTGTATTGTGCGACAGAGCTGTAGGCACGCGTGAGATCTTCAACTCATAGCTTTGTGCTCGGTTGTCTAAAATGACCTTCTAACGCCAGGAAACTTTTTGGGGGAGTTACCATGCAGATAAGCGGGAACTAACCTGTACTCAAATGCGCGAGCGCTAGTTGTAAGCGATCGCCAGGTGTTGGGTCAAACTAGACTATGCTCCTTCTTGTCAAGTGCGGCTGTGGCTGCGACCTAAATTAAAACACCACTCATTTGTTCGAAGCCTAGGCCCAATCACAGGCTCAAGCGTAAATCAATGTGTGAGCATAACTCCAGGCCTTAATCTAAACCTAAGCATAACGTTAGCTTCAATGATTGCACAGCTCTGGTGACCTGACCTAGGAAGGAGAACTGGACTGGCGTACGTTGGATTTTCCACAGCACTCACAAGATATTTGGATAGCGGATTGGACATACTCATTGCACGGACGAAATCCGTTTCTCGCAGTCTCATGGTCGTGTTGATTCTCTAGGAGCAGATTGTTCGTATCATTCTATAGCTCGGTCATACAGGCTGGGCGGGGGATCTCAGAAGGAGCGCAGACATCAGCAGGCGTTTAGTACGATGTTACTACCGTGGAGATGGAACAGAGAGGCAGGCGACGAAATCCAGAGGGCAAACAGAATGTTCTGAGTCTGATCGTTTTTGAGTATTCGTATATTAGATATACGCTATGTAGCCGTGGAGCTTGGTAGCAGTAGTTATTGCACGCGAAATGTCTGGGGATAGAGTGGTTGTTAGTTTTTGACAAGAGATGGAGAGGGCTTAATGTGCTAATGTGTTATGGGAGGCAGGTGGTCGCAAAACGAATGGCTGGGCGAAGAAAATTATGTGATTGATTTGTCTCGGGGACTCTGAATATTTATTTTCTCGCTTGCAGATAGTATGAAAAAAGTTGTCGCTCTCACTCTTTACGCCACTGGTATTGTATATGGGAACAAGATTGTCGGCTAGAATAGTTACTTTCCAGTACCAAATTGTCGCCGCGTCACTCTAGATAAATCAGATTTATATCCTAGCACGAAGAGGTGGGATACTACATATAAGGACTTGCAAGCTCGAGCGTATCGAAGAATTGGCGAGTTATCCGCTAGACAATAATTACTCTGATTAATACAGATATTACATTGATCCTTGAACGAGATTAGAGCTTTATCAGGAGTGTCAATTGAGACTTCGAGTCAGTGACGTTATATGTTATGTTCCTTCTTGTGGGTCGTAATATCGAGTAGGTGTATGTGGTGAGACGAATTCTAGCGAGCAACGTCTAGCATTTCGGTCAGTCGCGCTTTGGTCGATATGTTAAGACACTAGCACTCGCAACTGGTTTCAAATCAGGTGGATTCTATACATGGATGAAGTATCTATTTGTGTTGACTGCTGCACAAGCGTATTTATATGGACACCCTTTGGCTAGATATACGTTGCTCGTGTTTTAAATTTTTTCTGCCATGTGCGTTTAGCGCTGGAGAGTATAGCGCTCAAGTATGTCTCTAGAGTTGAACACGAATTCTGATACATAGGAGGAGAATGCAGTAGCTATATGCGATGGGAAGGGAGAGTGTGAGAGATTATCGGTTATTATAAAGCGCGGCGCCTTTTGGTTTCGTTTCAGTTCACCGTACAAGGTTTAGGTAGCTCTTTGCAATCTAGGACATATTCTCGCAGTCAGATTGATGATAGGCATCTGAGCAAGGATTTTAGCCTGGCAAGATAAGAAAGTCACGCGTAGCTGATACTCAACGATATGGTAACCGAGCAATAAACTAAGCCCTTAGTCATCCCAGAACCTCTAGTACTCTGATTGATTGATTTACCACGAGTTTGATGTGGCGCCACTTTCTTTGATAGCAGTTACGCTTTTTCACAAAAAATTGCCGGGTCAAGATCAAGATTTCCATAAAGTGCATTTGGTAAATTCTTCGGAAGGAGTGCAGGGATAGTTGAGTGTAGTGCACAAGACCCTGAACGTTTAAGTTCTTCCATACTATTATACATATTCTCGACTCTACTCGACAACTGAACCATCACTGAGATCGAATCATGCCAAGACCAGCTAGGCATTGTGTTCCTTCATAGATCGTGATAGGAGCCCGATTTCACAGAGAAAACAAAAACATTGGCACTACCTCCAACTCTCATCATAACGTTTGGATACGCTCAAGGCAGCTGTAACCCTTTCCCATTCACTCGATGACCTAAACATACGGCGATCTGTTAATTGAAATATACGCGCATTTTCCAAATATTCTCCATGGGTGCAGAGGGCAGTCACATAGAGAGCTACTACCGCACGTATAGTCTGGGGGATCGAGGTATTAGCAGCTCCACGCCCTGTAATCGGCCAAATGGCATCAGATTCACCTAAGAGAGCAGCAATACTGTTTGTCCTCCTATTGATCGATTCCTGCAATTCTTTCCATTTGCGAAGTAGGAACCCAAATAAGTCTGGGCTTCTGGGCGATGATACTTAAAGGCATGGCACATCCAGAAAAGATGAATCGGTTTGTGGCAGGTCTTTCTGCAGGAAGAAGCATTTCACGATGTAGCCAAGTGGATTCATGTCTTCCGCGGGTAGCTCAGACCAAGCCGCAAGCACCAAGCCTGTGCTGTTCCTGAAGCTCGAATATCGCGACCTCGGCTGTTTAGCCTTGCCACCAGACCACAATTTGAGTGCATGGGTTGTTGTGATACAACAGAATGTCTACGATCGGTTGCCGCAATGCTTTCTCCACCGTTATTCCCCCTCATTGCCCAGTATCTAGCACCGTACATCTCACAAGAAAGCCAGTAACATCAACGTTTTCAGAAATTTTAGATTCACTTCATCATTATTCGTCGGTGACGTTTCATTACCGAACGAAATAACTAGATTCTGGTTCTGGATCGTATACCTGAGTAGGAACTTCATGCGCTTGATATCACCAATGCACATATTAAAACGCTAAGTATTTTTCCAGAGATATTCTTAGTGGGCTGAACTGGACAATCGAATAAGACAACATCACAGATAATATTTATTCATTTTTATTGGTTTTGTCGACAACAATCAAGAAAACAGCAATTATTACCATGCAGAACTTTTGAGAGATTAAAGCGTCATTCTCACTCATAGGAAGACCAACGTTTTCCCTTTGGATGCCATTTCAACAAATACGCAAGGAGACACACACGCAACTCGCAACAGATCACAAATTGAAGGCGAAACCCGTGCAATTCCAGCAGAACACTTCGCAACAAAATTTGAATAGAACTTCATTGCACACACACTAGGAACTATTGAGGCCACAGCTGAGGAACGGAAGGGATAGAATCAATTTTGTACTAATATCACAGCAGTTATTGGTCTCCTACAGCATGCCGCGGTTCAAAGCCGTAACGCTCGTCGTTTCAATGGGAAGCCACGCTTCCCTGGCTGTGCAGAGCTGCGTCCATGCCTGTAGAAAGCTACGCCCTGTGCATGTTGGAACCGCGCATCTCACAGCCACAGGCAATGACTCGTATGTAGGGTGTCGTGGAGAAGTGTAGAGATCGGGAAGGACTCTTGGACTCCAGTCAAGAACTCTTCTGGTTTAATCATCACATTCAGGGTAAAATCGTGCATATGCAGTAATTCACTTTCATTACACGGTCCCCATCGCTCCTGGTACAAGGGATTTTCTCTCCTCTCTAATAAAGGCCGCACCATTGCATGCTGAAGAACGAGCGCATATGCGGATAAGTAGCACCTAATCAAGTAAGCCTTATTGGATAAGGGGAAACTATCAAGGTTAAGGTTAGGAAATTCAGATAAACAATTCCATTTGTTCAGGGGGTGTTTTCAGGAAATATGTGGTCATCAGTCCTTTGCCTTTCACATTGATCTCACCACGGCATTCGAATTCGAAGCCTTCCTTTTCCAAGATATTCTTAGTTTCTTCGGTCACCTGAAAAAAAGCAGTCTTATATTGACTGGCAGTATTTCGTATTAATCTGTGCTGTTTCGCATTCTCAAATGCCGCATCACAGAGTGCATACTGGGTGGCCAAAAATCACATTTGCCATAAAAAAAACGTCCAAACTTCATTGTTTACATACAAAAATTTAGCATAATCGGTTTTGTAAAACATCAAACTACATATACACTGCGTTTCATAATTATAGGTCCACCCTAAATTTTTGCTACCCCAAAGTTGCTGTGCATTTTTTGGAAAATGCTGCTATCACCGTTAGATTCCTCATCACGGAAAACCTTCATAGTGTTTTTCTGACAAATTCCCCCCTCAAGTAACCCAATTAACTTTTTTAGAACGAATTTTCACCGTTTCATGAATATCGGGCCACTCATAAAAAGTTTCACGATCCGTGAAGGGAATCAGGGAAGCGGGGAAATATGTGAGCTCAGTCGACATCGAGTTTACCATACCTCGTGTTATTCGCCTCTCTTCCCAGTAACAAGCTCAAGCCAGAGCACTTACTGAAGTGGGATAGCTGAGGAGCAGAATTTCCTCCCATGTCGGCCGGCTCATACTGCATAAGCAACTATGTGCAAAATCCTGGTCAGTGCGGAGAGAAGAGTCGCTTAGGTAAATAAAGACTGCGTTTCCTTCAAAATTTAGGAGGAATTGGGCGTCTTCTCTCGAATTGTACAAGGAGTCCGAACAAAGTCCGTGCTGAAATGCGGCCTTCCGTGAGCAAAACCACCGTGTGGTGAGTAAGCCAGCAGAGCAATAACATCTTCAGCGGATTGATGAAGAGCGTTCCAAGATTATTTGAGCGCTACAAGATCGCACGTCTCCATTTCTCCGTGGAAAAGGGCTCAACTTAATGAACGAAGGTGTGGCTGTTAAGACCCTTCGCGATCTTGGACTCTACCTCCTTGTTTCATGCTACAGGTGATCTGAGATCGACGTGAAAAAGTTTATTCTAGGTGGATCTGATAGAAAAAGAGGGTACAGGAGGGTTCCGTGAAAATCGCAGATGGTTTTGAATGTAACGTAATTTTGGCGGAGAATCCCTTATGGTTTGAGGCACCTTTGAACGACTGAGCGGCTAGAGCTCGCTTTTGTTTCCTTTCACAAGGATTCCATAGGGTATCGTGAAGTTCTTTTGAAGCGAGTTTACCATTTTTTCGACAACAATCCCCTCGATCCTTGATTTTTACGCACGATAACGCGGCTGTCCATGCCGGTCCTTCCACGCCAGATGGAATTGCAGGAAAAAATGTGGCAGTTATCTGGTGGCCACCATGTTATCTGAATCAGATTCCAATAGAGAATCATTGGGCCTTAATTGTTATAAAGTTCCACAGCAAAGTAAAGCAAAATGGAACAGCCGAAGAGCTGAAAACGTCGATCATCGGCGCCAGACGAATTTCGATCCTACTGTAATAGCTAATTTGGCTACCAGCATTCCAAAACGTATTATTGTGTTCCTTATGATTATTGGGAGGACCATCCCATTATTGAAAATTCGTGACGTTTTTTCGTTATAGTAAAATCTCTCGACAAGTGATGTGTAGTCATATTTGCGAAACGGTGAAAATACGTTCTAAGGAAGATATTTTAATAATTCTGAATCGAGATTTCTCCAGAAATCAAGTATCAAGGTTTTTCGTTATGGGGAAACTATTGGTAATAGCGGCATTTCCAAAAATGCACAGCAACTTTGGAATAGCAAAAATTTAGGGTGGACCTATAATTATGAAACGCAGTGTAGTCATAATAAAGATTTTTAGAACTATAACAATTTATAATGAAAAGAAGTTTGGAAGTGACCGCGCTAGTTTGGTACAAGCTTCAATATGTTCCTCCATCGAGTCGATGGTGCAGCGGAGGTGTTTAATTCATAACTCACTCCGTGTTCCGAATATTTCACCTAAAGGTCGTCAAATAATTCCTCGATTCTTTAGTATCTCTGTAATGAAGCCACATACAGAGAAGTCTGATGGATTCGAGTCGGACTGTAAGCAGGCCACAAATCTATTGCCAAAAAATAAGTCGATGCTGGTCTCGAAGGTCTAAGGATCGCTGTGTTGGTCTATGGGCCGGAGCCCAGTTCATTTGTTAAAATTTTGTTTCCAGGTAATCACAGCTTTCTTGAGTGTTTATTCTCGATAAAGCCTTTGTATTGATTTTCACGATTTTATCGACGAAAACGCATAGAGGCCTGCTCGAAACACTGATTCAGCTCCATGTCAGCAAACTTCAAGGAACGAAGTTTTCGAGGGTATTTCCCATTCACGAATGTTAATGAAAGTTAAGCTTAAAAGTGAAATGCGATTCTGAGGTTTCTAGCGGCATAAATACTGAACTTTCTCGATGAAAAAAAAAAACTTTGTCCGAACGATTGGCGACTGTGCGTTTGTTGGACGGTAACCTTCAATCAAATGCTTGACTTTTTTTTTACCATCTGGACAGATTTTTGATAAGTTCCGAGCTGTCCTCTTCTGAAAGCTCCGGTGATCTTTTTGGTCGTCCCCTTCTCAATAATTCTCTGCACCTATCGAGTGGAGGTACTCATATCTTACCTCCTTGAAGGTTCAGTCGACACCTGATTTTAATTTTCCATTGCTTTGCAGTTTTCTGGACAGAAACTGTGAGCCTAGGAAATCGCTGAGTTCTCAGTTCACATCTATGATTGCTGCGTAATCTCGTTTTAGTATGAGTAGGTCTTCGCAAAGACTTGAAAAATCAATTTTTTCATATTCAATAATTGGCAATAAACAAATATTGCGAAAATAGAAGTATGCATGACATCCTCATCAATGTTTAATGGTGAAAAATGTCATTCGCATGCAATTTCTCGCACCCTCTACCGTCAACATTTTACGCATGGAAACCAATACAAAGTCATATCCACGTGGAAGCCCAAGTGGTAGTGCGGATTTGACAGCACTCACAAAATTAGAATGTCAAAAAGTGAATTCCGAACCTGTATTTTTCCCGGCACTCCTGATGAATCCATGCGACTAGCGACATTCACTGAATTACCCCAGATGTCGTAATGAGGCTTCATCAGTCCTATGACACCAGCAACTACTGGACCAGTGTTGATTCCTGCAAAAAATGAGCTACGCTAACAGGAGTCTCTTGAACGGAAACATTTTTCAGTATTTTACGGATATGCCACACACCAGACATTCGCTGAGAATTGAGGCAGCTCAATGAGTATGGGTTTCAACACGGACCATGACCGACTCTATCCATGGGCTCTCTGTTAACGCGCACTCTTACCAGGAAGGTCTTTAGCGTGATGGACTCTGGTTGGCACGGTTTGTTCGAAGTTGTTGGTTCGGTTCCCCTCCATGCTCGGATTTTTGCATTTTTCCGATTATCACTTTTTTGCATTTGCATGTGCTTGCGCGTGAACTTAAAGCCTATAGGTGTCATTTCCAAGAACTTTCTCCCACAATTCTGCGATATTTCGTAGTACCATGTTTTTCAGTTGTGTACGAAATTCCGTTTACAAGCAATAAATAACTAGCAGTTATGGTAAAACTCAATGAAGCATCTGAATCACAGGCGCGGATCACACCAACTGCATCTAACGAACGCCAGAAAAGTGAAGTTGTCATTTTCTTCGCAAGGAACACCTACTCCATTTCCCTTGAAGGCAGATTGCCGGCGTTGAGGAACGTCCAGGATGCTCGTCGACGTAGCCAGTGCCCACCCAGGCATACGCCATGCATCGACGAGATCAAGGGGTGATGCCAGATTGCCCCATGGGCAGGAACTGCGGTGGAAGTGTAACTATCAACCAAACGTGCCGCTTGCTATAGGTGGAAG